CGGGGTCCTGCAGCCAGCAGCTCCCCTCTGCCCAGCCCCTCCCTCACACTGTGTATGGTCATTTTTTAAATACTGTTTTTATTTTAACATCTTTGTGATTTAATCATGGAAAAAAAAAAAACCAACCCAACTTCCAGGCTGTCCAATGACTGTAAATTATTTAAATACATTTGCCCTTGGAATAAAAATACTGCTTCTGGAGCTTGCTTCCTGCCCTCCCTCCGCTTGGGAAGGGGGCGGCAGGAGGAGCGATGGCTGCTGCCCGGGAGGAAGCGCCGGGGTGCTGAGCGCTGGCAGGCAGCGAGGCCAGAGGGCTGGGGGCTGAGGCACGGCCATGCTGGACACGCTGTTTGGCTCCCAAGGCTTCGGGGGCTTCCAGCAGCAGCACGAGGCTGCTCTTCCCCAGGTCTCTGGGGACGCAGAGGTCCTGCTCGGCTCCCGGGGCAGCCAGAGCTGTGCCCGGGGCCCGTGGGGGCTGGGGAGGGTGCTGGCACCCCTGCCCTCCTCTCCCATCCCACACTGGGGGAGTGTTTTTCCCTCCCTCTCCCTGACAGGTTGTGTTAGGGGAGCCACTACCAGATGGGCCAAAAGCACCGAGCACGCAGGCTGCTCTGAAACCACCCCAGCAACCCCAGGCACCACCTGCCCTTTATTTTTTTTGCACATGCGTCCTCTGGAGATGCGAGACCAGGGTGCTGTTCGCCTGGCTGAGGCTTGTGATGCCTCCACTGCTCCTTCAGCTTGCAGGGAGAGGAGGAACCTGAGGCCCACCCTGGAAGCCAGCACACGTGCCGGGGCAGCGACGAGGTGCGAGGGCCTCTTCCCCTCTGCCTTCATTGCCCCGGACCCTGCCTTGTGCCCCGGGAGCTGGGGTGAGGAGTGCTCGCAGAGCCGGGCTTCACCCCTGAGGACCACTCTGGTGAAGGTCCGGAAGGCCGAGGGAAGGGGAGCGACTGTCCCTGGCCCCCTGCTCGCCGAGGTGGGGGGAAGGCAGCCAGGAGACAGGCAGAGGGTGCTCCTGCTTCCAGGTGAGTGACCAGGGCACAGCCCCACAGCTAAGACACGGTCTGTGAGTGGCCCCAAGCTCTGTCCCACACTCAGGCTTCCAAGGAACAGGGTGGACACCAGAGTCTGGACGGCATCGAGGAGGTGGGAATGGGAGATGGAGCCAGGGGGGAGAAACAGTCCTGGCGCCCACACTGCCTCTCTTCAGTTACACTTCGTGTCTTTGTTCTTGTTCTGAAACTTCTGGTGGACGACACGGAGGGTGGTGAAGAAGTTCCCCAGGAAGAGGATGAAGAAGGGGAGGCCGCACATGAGGACCTGCAGGAGCCGCGGAGGCACGAGTCAGCAGGTTGTAGAGCTGCCAGAACTGCGGGGCAGAGAGACTCAGTGGAGTTCCTCCTTGCAAAGGCTCGACCCCATGCTGGGGTTTACCCAGCGGCTCTCTCCAGGCACAAACCTCCCCACAGACCTCGTGTCAGCCCAGCCTGCCCCAGCACGCAGCGAGACCGGTCCCAGCGCAGGGCCAGAGGACCCCGGTTGGGAGATCCCCCCCTTCTGGAGCCCAACAGCTGGGAGGAAGCCTCAGACCAGCCCACTGCTTTTGGCCATCGGTCTAAATGATCCGACCAAGGAAGAACCGGACCTTCAGGAGCTGAAGCTCCGCAGGGGTTAGGAAGGGCTCTCGGAGCCGGCCCCGCGGCCGTATTTTGCACAGCACTTGAG